TTGAGATGGAAAGTCCTGCCAACCCCATTTTGCCGATGAAGAAATGGAGACAGAAACCAGGAACCCAAGAGAGCCCAGCCAGTAAGGTTTGAGCTCCACTCGTGTCCCTGCTGCCTTAACAGGAGGGGGGGGGGAGCAGGAAGTAGAGGGGGGGCCGCCTAAGTTTCAGGCCGCAGGGGTCCCCAGGGACCAGGCTGGTGGGCATGAGGTTTCATGACTCAGGGAGTGCACAGGTGTCTCTGCAAGCATCAGGGAAGAACCGTGCTTCTGGAAAAATCCCAGAAGGCGGAACCTGGAGCATCTTCTCAGGCCGAAAAGCAAGGAAGTATTCCAAAAATGATGAGGACTCGTCCAAAGGATACAGAAGCCAGCTTGGAGGGGGTTTCACTGGCTAAATCCAGCACGATTTGAACATCAAAACAAATAATGTTAATAAGAGAATGTTCACGGGGCGCCTGGGCGGCTCAGTCAGTTAAGCATCAGACTCTTGATTTCGGCTCAGGTTATGATCTCATGGTTCCTGAGATCGGGCCCTATTTTGGGCTCTATGCTGACAGTGAAGAGCCTGCTTGGGATTCTCTCTCTCTCTCTCTCTCTCTCTCTCTCTCTGCCCCTCCCCCTGCTGGTGTGCTTACTCTTGCTCTCTCTCTCTCTCTCTCAAATAAAATATATATTAAAAAAAATTAAGCCTGCTTGGTTTAAACTGATGGAACCAAACCACCTTGTGCACGGGGTGCAGTGCTCTGTTCTGGTGTCAGAAAGTCACAATTCAGCCCGTCATTTCCCTTCCGTACAGGCCTGGCAACGGTTCATGGTGTTCTGTCACATCCTTCTCTGGCCCAGCAGCCCTGCATGTATTTTCTGCAGCTTATGTGTGTGGCCTCGTTCTCCTAAGAGCATCAGTCGTTCACGTTTGGGACGGGAGCCAGATCATCCCTGTGCCCTCTGGTCTTAGTCCTTATTTATTTATTTTTTAATGTGTATTCATTTTTGAGAGACAGAGAGAGACAGAGCACAAGCAGGGGAGGGGCAGAGAGAGAGAAGGAGACAGAATCTGAAGCAGCTCGAGGCTCCGAGCTGTCAGCACAGAGCCCGGCGTGGGGCTCGAACCCACGAACCGCGAGACCGTGACCTGAGCCGAAGTTGGACGCTTAACCGACTGAGCCACCCAGGCGTCCCAGTCCTTATTTTCTTTTAAAGGATGAAATTGTCCCTTGTTGGGAGAATAACATAGTAACTTTTGCTTATCAAAGCTTACTTGTCAAGTATTTTTTTTTTTAATTTTTTTTTTTTATAAATTTTTTTTTCAACGTTTTTATTTATTTTTGGGACAGAGAGAGACAGAGCATGAATGGGGGAGGGGCAGAGAGAGAGGGAGACACAGAATCGGAAACAGGCTCCAGGCTCTGAGCCATCAGCCCAGAGCCTGACGCGGGGCTCGAACTCCCGGACCGCGAGATCGCGACCTGGCTGAAGTCGGACGCTTAACCGACTGCGCCACCCAGGCGCCCCTTTTAATTTTTTTTTAACGTTTATTTTATTTTTGAGACAGAGAGAGACAGAGCATGAACGGGGGAGGGTCAGAGAGAGAGGGGGACAGAATCTGAAACAGGCTCCAGGCTCTGAGCTATCAGCACAGAGCCCGACGCGGGGCTTGAACTCACGGACCGCGAGATCATGACCTGAGCCGAAGTCGGACGCTCAACCGACTGAGCCACCCAGGCGCCCCTTGTCAAGTATTTTTAAGTTAAAAAGAGAGAAGAAAGGAAGGTGCAGGACTGAGCCCTAGGAAGGCCTGACCACCCAAGATGGGGTGCGGCGGAGTTATCTGGAAAACTGAGAGACTGTGGTTTAAACACCAGAGGTCAATGAGCTATGTGGCCTGGGGCCATCAGCACAAGGGGGGGAGGAGAAGGAGGGGGCGTCAGCAGCTGGCAGATTCTGGTTCCTACCAGCTGCCCGCTCCTGCCCTCCATCCCAGCTGCTGCACCTGGCCCTGGTCCTGATGAGCCAGGATCTCCCGAGATCATTCCACCCCGGGGCCCAAGACCCCGATTGGAGAGCCAGGCTCCTGGTTACTTACACCCCGCAGTGGACTCTGCCTTTGAGGTTTGGGACAAGTCACTTCCTCGCTCTGGGCCTCAGTTCCCCCACTTGTACGTTGGGAAAATTGAACTACATCAGACCCCAATGTTTTCAAGAATGAGGATCCTGCTTCACTCACACACACACACACACACACACACACACACACACGGGCACGCACACAAATGCCCTTGAGTATCATATGACAGTTGCTCAGCGTGGAGCCCGACGTGGGGTTCAATCCCACGAACCGTGGCATCGTGACCTGAGCCGAAATCCAGAGTAGGACGCTCAACCGACGGAGCCACCCAGGCACCCCCACAATGTGGTTTTTTTAACTAAGGAAAGCGGGGACGAGGGGGAAATACTGGAGATGAGACTGAGGTCGACAATGAGGCACAGCAGAGCTGGTGTCTCAGCTCCGTCCAGGGGAGAGTGGAGGGGGCGTCAGGGAAAAGCTTGTGGGCAAAACCCCAGACGTGGGACCACTGAGCTATTGGGGTTTGGAACTGCCAGTCTCTCTGGGAAGCAACCCAGGCTGTCGCTGGAGCCCTCATCCCACGGGTGCCATGCTCTCCTCTCCCTGTGTTCACCCCGGAAAAAGCACCTGGGCGGTAGGGGCCTCCAGGAGGGGGCCTCACTGTACACGCAAGTCAGGGAAGCCTACCTGCAGGAGGAGTTCAGAAAGGGCTTGAAGGGAGGAAAGATTAGAGGAGGTAGAGATGCAAAGAGGGCGTTCTAGAGCAAAGACACCGAGACGGGAAAGCAGAGGGTGCGTCCGGGGCTCAGGGAGGGGAGCCCCGGTCTAGAGCAGACGGCATGGAGGGGAGGCATGAGAAACGAGTCTGGCAAGGGGGCGGGGGTCGAGCGGGGTGGACAAGGGCACACAGGGGTCTGAGCACCAGTGTCCTCAGGCCTCCCGCACCTGGCTTTCACGGGGCCCTGAGTGATTACCCTCCGTTGCACAGAGGGGACACTGAGTCACAGACAGGCACCCAGCTGGAAGGTAACAGGCGGAATCCACACACACACAGGCTGCTGGCTCAGCCTCAGCCCCGGGATCCCACACACAGGTCTGCCGCTCTGGGATACAGGGCCCCGGGCTCCAAGAAGGAAAGCAAGCAGGAGTCCCAGGCAGCCGAGGATGGGACCCAGCTTCCTGGGTCTCTCATCCGGCTCCCCGCGGACGGGAGGCTGGGCTCAGCAGGCCTGGGCGTTCATTCGCTGCCCTCTGGGAGCATGTCTGCGCATCTGTGAACAGGAAACAGCAATGCGAAAAGACGGGTGGGGACAGAACGCTCTAAACAAAGCCGTTAGTAAGGAGTATGTGTGGCTGAAGCAGGTGCACTTCTGTGGCCTGGGGTGCAATGGCCGAGTCGGTGGGCGGCACAGACCTGGGACGGCCCCAGGTGACAGAGAGCCCCCGTCTCTGTGTCCTGCCAGGCGACTGGTCCCGTGCAGCCAGGTGCCCGCCAAGCTCCCGAGGAATAAGCCACAGAATGTTTCCGGCACAGGGACCCGGGCAAAGGGAGGCCCACGGAAAGGTGTGCCCTCTCCCAGCTCCGTGTTCCCACCCTGATAGAGGAGGCGGCCCTCCCCCACAGGCTCCACACGCCGGCCCTGTCTCTCTCACACCTGTGCCTCCGG